AATACGCGAAAAAAAAAAGGAAAAAAAAAAGAGAGACTTAAATTGTCTTTATGTCAATGGAACATCACCGTTGCATTGACTGCGCCTGTACTGCCTGTAGTGTTTTGTCATAGCAGTTCGCACAAACCTATTAAAGAGATCTAGTAAAAGGCGCTGCCATTTAAATTCGTCACAGTCAATGAAATCACGGCTAACTCTCGGAATTAATCAAGACCAAGAAAATAAAAAAAGAACAGAGTTCAGGAGCGTAGTGTCCATATACGCACATATGCCCCCGTGCGAACATAGACTAGAGACGAGTAAAATAAACAACTAACCAATGCATTTTCCTAAGTATTAGAGTGATTTGCTTTACCCGTGAAACAGATGACTTCTGTCTTTTGCAAAACAGCTACAAGTAAACAAAAAAAGAAAATGGAATTGGTGCTTAGCGCGTGGTATTCTACTGCCTGTTTCACGGGTTAAGTAAAATCACTCTAATGTGCTGAAAACCCTGTGGAAAACGCTGGTAATGGCATTTCCGAGACCCTAGATTTAAAACCGTTCTGGGGGAGCATGCCCCCCTGCAGACCCCCCAGATTATCGGCCTTCGGCGTAACCACTCTTCTTCCCCGCGTGCGCGTGCACCTTCAATTTAAAGTCTCACGTTACCCCTCTGTTCATGCCATCAACTTTAGTTTGACTAATGGTCGTGGGTTGGGGGTGTCAATTGACGATGCACAACTTCCCGTTTGAATCTGAAGGCGACTCCGATACAGGTTGTCAATTCACTCACCCTGACGATTATATTTCCTTGACAAACATCATTTACAAATAACAAAATTTCGATTTCAGTTTTTTCTTTAAAACTGAACAACAAATATCTCTTTTTTTCATACTGTAGTTGATCAAATCGCATCGGAAAATGGCAGCATTCGTCGGGGAAAGAGTTCGCATCAGAGATACTTCAGTAAGCGTTTCGGTACCACAGAATTCAAAAGCCAAATTGATGTACTACCTCAACTGTGTGGCCACGGTTATTCAGCTAGACGATCCTGCTTTGAGCAGGTTAAAGAACTACCAGAGTTACTATTTGCTGAGCGAGGAAGAAACCGACGCTCTGTTGGCACTCGTAATTCTCCTCAGCCCAGATGAGCTGATAGGCAAGGTGTTTTTCCCGAGTGAAGACTGTGGGGGACATTCTAACCAATTCTATGAGCTGAGTGCAGTGTCGCACATGCTGGCAGTTGCAGATAACATCGTCATTGGAGGAGAAAGGAAGAGAGTTGGCAAAATAATGTTCTTTAAGAGATCATGGATGGAAACCTACTACCTTACACCCATCAGGTCGTTCCAAGATCGACTGCAAAGGATGGCGCGAGGGCTGCCGGGTGCTCTTCCCGGCCCGCGTATTGTCCATCGTCCAGACCCACCTCCGTCCAGGCCCCGCGCTACCTCTTCAAGCAGTTCTTGCAGTATTTTGTAACTTTTTAAAAGAAGTTTCGTGTGCAAGTCCTTTAATTATTTTGAAGTATTCACTGCTGAACTAGTTTAGACTATATGCGTTTAGTGACTCAAAGTAGACTAATTTTTAAGTCACGCTATCATAATTCACATCTAACTTCATTGTGAACATAATCCCTCATAGTTCAAATGAAACACCACTCTTCTTGTCAGTGCAGTACTTAGGGTTAGCTAAATGGAACGAAACCTTTACGGGTAAATTCGATCAAAAAAGAGAAGCTTCATTTTTTAAAACATATTTTTATGTGGCTTTTACTATAGAATGGGTACCATAAAATAGAAGAAGAATACCCACTTAAAGAGAAGTTGCTCTAGCTAGAATAAAAGACCAATTTTATCACTTTTACGAAATCGTCCTTAACTGGTAAATTTAGCTTGAGTTCTTGTCGACGTCACAATAATTCATAATGATCTAGCTCTTAGCGATGAAATATAGAATAACGAACAAAACGGTAGAAGTTCTTTGCTACTTGTTTCATTACAAGCGCATTAAACATAGGGCTGTGTTGTCCTTTAAAGTGTGCGGTAAATCTGTAAAATATGGATGAATGTTTTGAATAACAACAAGGATTAGATGTCTCGACCAGGACGTGTTTTTTTATCCGCGGAAGTCCACAAGTAGTGATCTGGGGTAAATTTAATAACACTTTAACAACTGTAATTAACAAAAGTAGCCATTGCTTTGGAGTTTCAAAACAATAGCTACACTTGTGATAAATAAAGAAAGTCTTGCATGAATACGTAAAGAAGATTTAAAACCACTGGGATTTAATAACATTTTCTTGAAATAACACTTAATTTTAGACTGTTTAAGGGCCTGTTTACATAAAGGTGGGGACCTCAGGTAGGTGAGGTAACATGTCGCAGGTCACCACACCCAGAGAGATTATTTTTACAATAACTGAACGAATCTTCGCGCGCTGATTGGTCCATAGCTATGGTCTATGAGAGTATGAACCATGGAAATGACGTAACATGTCACGCAGTGCTGGTTGTT